TCATGCGTATCATTGCATCAGTCTGAAAGTAATTTTAAGTGGATACTGATAGTGGTGGTTACAGTGTTGAGAGCCAAAAGGTAAAATGGGTTTGAAATCAGCTGTCATCACGTAGATGTCCCTTTGATTTTTTTCTAGGAGGGTTTTGTTTTATTTAATGGGATTATGAGATTTTGAAAATCACCTGCTGCAAATGTGTAGTAGATTTTTCACATCTGTTTTTAATAAAATTGTAATGTACTTAGTTAATGAAAACCATATTCATAAGACATGTGAAGACTTTATTGTCTCTTACTCTCTTCCACACCCTACCCTAAGAGAGGGGAGATAAGGAAGGTATAGGAAATAGGTCCATGGAGAGGTAAGACACTGAATTTTTCACCTCTTTTCCTGAAGCAGTACACAGCTGCCTTATTTTTTGTTTAAGGACTATACTGAAAATTCAGATCTTTCATGGTTAAATTGTCATTTAATCTTTTAGAAAGCCCAAAAGTAAGGTCAGTCTGATTATGTTCCTAAGCCCATTTTAACACAGTTCCTCTCTTTAAAACATTTAAAAATGCTTTTCATGTCAAAATCATCAAATGTAACCCACATACAAGGTGAAATGCTGCTTGTGAAAGTCAGTAAAGTTCACCCAAAGGATTTAACTTAGGTGCCTCTTAATGGATGAAAGCATGAAAAGAGACAAAGGTTTTAATCTGTCTCTTTTTGACTTCATGTTTTCCTGGTTGTTGTGAGTGTACCCAGGGTAGTTAATGTTTTTGCAATTATACCTAACAGTTGGAGGTGTACTTGACTGAAGTGACCCAAATCTTATATAAGTAATTCTGATAATTATCCTGCACTTTGAAAATAAGGGCTGAACTATAATTATTTATGGGAGGGATTTTGAAGGAATGTTCTGTGTTAGAATAAGGCAGACCTTAGCATGGTTTTAATGTATATACTGAGCACTATGTCTTTTAAGATACTAATGTAGATATGCCTATTAATATGTATGAAGGACATAAATGCTTAACAGAAGACAGAGAAGGTAAGTACACTTTTTGCAGTAATCAAGCATTTGCTTTCAGCAAGTCCTTCACCTAGGAGGAGTCCACTTCAGCAGTATAGTAAAAGTGTTATTTAGGTCCCTCTATTTTTGAGGATGCCCCTGACTCTACAAAGACTCCAAAGGGATCAGTTGATATGCTGTATCTATAAAAACAATTTAAGTAGCTCTAAGTAAGACTTCGTGCCAATTATGTTAATGAAGCTGCAAAGGGACTGCAAATTTAGAAGTCTTCTAAAGTCCAGTGCTGGCCCAGCAATTCAGAAGCTCCTTAACAAGACATTAAATCAGGCTCTTTAATCTCTCTAATTGGTGCTTTTGAGCATAGAAGAATACATGAACCCTGCTGTGTTCTAAAAGCAGTAGAACATCTTCACTAGCCAATAATACCTAGTGAAAATAGAGTTCTCAGACTGCAAGTCTCCTGTACTAAATAATGATGCAGAGAAGTTTCATTTCACTGCTACTTGTCAATGCAGTTTTGCTGTTGAACAGTGCTTGGCTGTAGCTGTGCTGGAAATGGTTCAGCTCCGCCTTCCATGACTGTAAGGTCCCATTCCTAGGCATTGCTAAATATCCTGTCCATGAGCTAAGGGGTGAAACCTAGGAGTAGTCGGAGGAATTTATCCTGCTGACAGAATGGGGGTTTCGGTACCATGATTCCTTTCAGGAGCCATCAAGTCTCTCCTCACAGAATGGGACTTTTACAAACTGATGCCTGGTTATTTAAACTTGGGTACTAAAACATAGAAAGCCTAGAGGTTAACTTAAAGATATTTAAACTTCAAATAACAATTTTCTCTCACAAAAGTACAGCTCTAATGGATGCTAGTTCTTCTAAAAGACCTGCTCTGATTTACTGGTTGCAGTAAATCCATATGGTTTCCCCAAAATGCAGGAGGCTTTTTGGCAGCTAAGGAGTTACTATTCATTTAGCGTTTTATTTAAAGAAAATCTGTACGGTTGCTACTTTCTAGCTACAGCTTTTATCCCACTCTCACTTTCAGCTGCTACATGCATTCTCCCCAGAGTGTGACTTCTGTAGTGGTAATGTATGTATACATTAGGGTGACTCAGGCATACACCGTCTCCCATCTCTTTTGCCTTCTATGGAAAAGGGAGTAAGACAAACACTCATCTCAGTGAGTTCCAGCCTTATCTTGTCTCTGATTACTCCTGCTCTAAGCTTTTGGCTGAAGTTCTGAAGAACTGTTCTACTTTAATTTTTTTTTCAAATAATTTACATTCTTTTGCAATTTTTTATCACCCATGGCTATTTGTTTTCTACAACAGGCTTACAGGGTGTCATCCTTATGATTTGTATAAGAACTCCAACACAGTATGATGGGACACCTGGCTTGTGTTTCAAAGAAATAATTATGAAGTATAATTTAATTTTTCCTTAGCATTCATCCTCACTACTGGAGGAAGAAAAAAGGCCACACACTGAGCGAAGAGAATGCAATGCTAATGAATCCACTAGAGGAAGGCTCTGCACTTCTGTGTCTGTCCCATCCTAAGCAGAATCCCGATCATGGAATATCCAAGGAGATTTGCCTCATATGGTATGTCATTTATGTATGTTGACTGTACATATTATTCCCTCTGGCTATAAAAATTTCCCCGTAGTCCTGCTTTTTTCTGCTATTTCATCAAAGCCTTTATTTCAGTCATCTCCGGCTGGCCAAAGGGAAAACGCTTTTTCTGTGTCTCCTTTTTGGTGGTGTTTTTATTTTATTTAGGGGAAGCAAAAAGGTCTATATTTTGTAAGGATTTTTTCAGAGGCATTAATTTCTTGGTGTAAATGAGAAATGAGTTTTTATTATAACTGGTATCTGTCACTCCTCTAAATTGTAGGATACAAGTTTAAATTCATCAGAATACATAGGAGAATGAAAATCAGCACAGGACTGTGGTTCAGGTACAAATGTTGCAACCATATTAGCTTTTCACTTGAATTCTTAACTTGCATATGATCACACCTATGTATGTGTACATAAACAAATACCCACCATGTCACCCTCTTTCCTAACTAGTACAGTCAAAACTGATCTTATACCTAATAAGAAATTTTGGGGAATGGGGGAGATTTAAAAGTTTAGTCCGTGTAGAGCTCTAAATATTTTAGACAAATTCCATTGATTTTCTTCAGGCTTGCATTTTCTGAGATTTTTTTTTTTGTTGTCTTAGCAGGAATTTTGTTGATGTTATTTTTAGTTGTGTTATCTACTCAAAAAGCAAAGTCATTTAGATCTATTTACAAATCTCTTGGGTTTTTAAAAATAATTTATCATGGTTACAACCAAATGGGGGAAGGGGGAGGAAGAAGAGAGAGCTTGCCAAAATAATTTTAAAATGTTCACAATGGCCTATAGACTAATGCTTTTTAACGAAGTTATCAAATACAGTGGTATCCGAATGCCTTGCATGAAGGTTAATTATTATTCTGGGAACATTCATTTTAAGGGGTCTTTTCTGTATTTCTGCATTTCATGAGAATACTTCGGAGGAGTGAAGCATGATGTATAAAGAGGAGGCTTCATCCTTTGAAGTATTCTTGTGGAAGAAATACTATGTATAGTTTTTCTCGTGTGTGTATACTTTATATTTGTTTCTGTGTAGGTATAGAAGAAGAGTCACATGTGGATATCCCACTTAGCCACAATCCTGTTGCTTTGGGCAATGAATTGTAGTGCAGCAGATATTTTATTCTAGAACTCTGCACAATAATTTCTTAAATGTTTTAATGTCAACCTGTCTTTCCTGTAAATTACTCCGAACACCTGTCTCTATCAGATACTTCAGACCCTTTCACCATGACAAATGCTTTAGTTTAAAGTAATTACTGCATGAAGAATTTCACAAACTGTTTAAGGAAAATAATATGTATAAATTCATATTAAAAAAACTTCACAAAATACTTTTTTGTAAAGTGCTTTTTTATTATGCATTGTCAACAGTTAAATGATATGTTACTTTTTCATGCAAGCTGGAATAGTGTTAAGAGAGCAAATGTTAATCCATAAATGTGTTAAGGAAAAAAAGTGCTAAATCTGCATAAGTTTGTACTGGTTTAAATATGAAACTGGAGAGCTGTGTCACTTAAAATGACTTTAAATTAGTTACTGAAGCAACCACTAGTCTTAATTGCCCAGTGTTCCCAAACCTTGCTCCAGTTCTGCCTAGGATGTTTGTTTTTATCCTGTGTTAAAATTTACACACTTTTTTTTTTCTGTCATGCAATATAATGCCATAGTAGCAGCTCTAGGAATATAGCAAAACAGTACTATTCACCAACCAGTTGTGGTTACTATTCAATAATGAGTCCATTTCAAACTAAGTAGTGCATGATATTGCAAAAAAAAAAAAAAACAACCAAACCCCAAACAACCCCAACCACCACCACCAAAAATCCCCAGCCAAACCCCAAATCTTCTAGTATGAGCAAACACAACAAACGTACATAATATGCCATGGAGTAACATCTCAGTTACAATAATAACAATACATAAGAAAAAACTATGGAAATATTTTTTCTTGTTTTGTGCACACCAGGTGCTTCATATCTTAATTTGTTACAAATGATAAACAGTAAAATTGAATTACTATGTTTCTGCAGGACAGTCATGTAGTAAAATATTTCTTGCAATGTTCATGAACAGAGACAAGTTGTTTTAATTACAGACTGAAAAAATTCTATTTTATGCATCTTCATTACCTTAAATATAAACTAAGTAAATAAAGTCTAAGTAATTGACAGTATATAATACAAATTTTCATATGTAATCTCTGGATATTAAATTCTTCAAGAAGGACTATAAAATAACTGGACTGAAGAAATACCTATTTACGACATACTTTGTAATGAGTGACAGATGTAGCTGATCACTTAGCTGTTTTATTTATTTTCATCATAGAATCTATTTTTTTTAATTTGTTCTTCTACAGTGAGCTGTTTGAACTTGACTTTCTCTCCTTGGAATGATGGAGCAGCTGTATATCTTGAGCTCAGTAAACCTAAGCTTGTGTTTATGTCATTCTTTGACACCTTGAGTATTTCACTTTCTTGACAGGCGTTAGTATCATTCAGTTCTGTATCATAATTCCCATGTTCTTTTGAATATGGGCTGCAGGACTTTTTAGTTATGTCTACGGAGTCTATTAGACCACAGTCTAAAACCAGGTTGTCTTTTTTAAGAAAAGATGTTTTCAGAGTGTCAGATAAAATAGTATTTAAATTTTTGTCATGTTTTGATTCTTCTCCAATGCATACCAACTCAGTATCAACTGGGAATGTTCTGTTAGTTGCCTCCTTTAAAACTAATGTGCTATTAGTATGAGACTTCTGAAAAGTGGCATCTTTATTAAATTGAGCAAGACTATTAGAGGTAACAGCATCTTCATCTTCCGAGTTCTGTTCATCCCATGAAACAGTTACAGTATCACTAGAATAGCTCTCATGAGATTCATACATCTAAAATATTTCTTCATTTCCAGACCAATTTTCCAGCTTTGCAAAGGCTTACTGCAATACAGTGCAAATTGCATGGCTTAATGCTGTCATTGGCTTAGACATAGCTGCGAGTTGTTTCCTGCCTACAAATGTTTAGATGTGAAAAAGTGGCATAATTGTTATTGTTATTCCAGCTGAATTCTTTGTGATTCTTTTGTGCTGTTATCATCAATGTTAGTAACCTGTACAACTTCTGAATCATCAGTTCCATTAATTTTTTTCTCTCGCTCCTTCCCAGCGCTATGCGCAATCACATTATCACCTTCATTAATATCCTTTCCACTTTCCTCCCTATTCTGTGATCCTCCTGTTTTATTCAGCTTATCTTGCACATTCCCAGCTTCCTCATCTTTTCCGTTGTTGCCTGCTTCATTTTTCTTCGCTTTACAGATATTTGTAGCTTCTTTTTCAGACAGAGAGCTAAAGGATGAGTGTTGATTTTGTTGTGCATTTGCAGCGTCATTTTTATTTTGCTCTCTCATGGCATTTTTTTCCTGAGGATCCTTTTTGTTGCCCAGAGGTTTATTTGTATGTAAACTAGAACCTTCTTGAGCAAAACCTTCTGGGGGCCACTTTGGCTTAGTTACTTTAGCCACTTCTTCAATAGAAAATGTTTTCTTAGGTGTTGCATCATCTGTTGAAGGTGGCCATGTCATCTTTAATTTACCTCTTTCTGTGGATTTTTTCAAATTATTATCCAAAACATCAGGATGAATACCTTCAGTACCCGAGTACAAGTCTTGATCAATTTCTGTAATTGGTTTCGGATCAACAGGTAGACTATTAATGGGATTTGTTTCTTCAGCATGAATATTGCCAACTGAGCTACACTGATCTTTACAATTCCATAGTTCTTTATGCTGCTTGTGTCCAAAACCTTCATCATAATTTCCTTTTGATTTGAAAAGTTGCTTAAAATGGGGTTTACAATATATTTTTCCATGGAGAGAGGCGTAATTTCCCAAGCTGCCGAATGGAAGAAAATTTGTTTTATACTTTTACCTATCATAAATCTACCATGAATTTTACACTTTACTTGGTATTTCAGGTACCCGTACATGACAGTATATATAAAGAAAGAAAGAGCAAAAAGAGAGCAAATTGAAGGTATTGGCCAATTCTGACCACACACACACACACACAAAGTATCTAAAACCTTTTCAATTTCAAAGTCAAAACAAAGAGGAAGAGTCATGCTTTGTGATTTGAGAAAGAATATAAACTTATTCAGTTGTTGCACAGCATAAGCTTCAAATAGGAATGTTCCATAGCCCTTTGGGGTTGTTGGAACCTTTTCCTCATCATATTAAAGACTGAATCCTCTATTTTTCTGCAGAATAGATGGAGAAAATATAGTGCCAATTTTCTTTAGCCTTTGTGTGAATTACAGAAATTTGTGTTTAATTATATTTGGATTCTGCTCCTAAATGAAGTAAAGGAAATGTGTGTAACTAACCTCAAAGGTCTTAAAATCAGAACTGTTAGCCTTTGCAGTCTGATAGAGCAATAAATGCTGCATTTCATATAAAGGTTAAGGGAGTGGTTTGCTAATGCGGAGAACTGTCTTCATTCATTTTATGGATGAGGAAAAGTGAGAAAATTTGGTCTGTGTTCAGATGTCTTAAATTCCACCCAAGTTTCTGCATCTACTGCTTTCTGTTCATGAGCTCTCCTGAAGGTCTGGAACAGTCAGAAGACACTCATATGCAGAAGAATTTGGAAGGTACTGGGATGAAGCCGTTCTTTAAAGGACTTGGTCCATGTCACAATGCAGATGTCAGTAGAGGAGAAGGAAAGGGGAACCCTGTTTACTTCCCTGTCAACCCAACACCCTACAGGCTGAATATAATTTCAACAGCTGTATTTATATTCAAATGCAGGGTTCTATGAGTGATCATGCAGTTACTTCTTACCTTAATTGACTGCCACAGTGGTGACATCGGAAACATGATTTATGAAAATTCTGCTTGTCGGCAACTAGGCATTCCATTGGGTAAACTCTCTGTTGACAGAATCTGCATGTTTCATTTTCCTGCATCTGCAGTTTCTAGAACCACATATTAAAAAGCTATGAGTTAGTTATATAGAATAAATTCTGATTTATTTTTAACTGTATCAGTCCATATGTTTTGTTAAAACTGTAGTTTTCTTTATCCATTAACTGGTATCTCAGCTGTCAGTTTTAGGGCTTCATTTTTGTTCAACTAACAGTAATAATTCAAAAGTGAAAAACTACTCACCTTTCCCTTTTCAGAAATCCATACATTTGAAAGGACTACTTACTTCACTGCACCAGGTACAATATTTCCCATTTATTTGTAATAACTATTTATTTTGTAAAATGAGATAGGATAATAAAGGCTTACTAGTATAAATGGCATTGCGTATAATGTATGTATAATCTTTGAATCTACAATGTGATTTAGAGATCAATAAACGGGGCAGATGTTTGAAATTCTGATGAGGAAATTTTACTTAATCATGCCAAAAGCACATCAAGGAGCTCCACTTCTGTGGTAACCTGCAGACTGTATGGTCCAGATATGCTATGGATGTAATTATTTATGATTTTTACAATTTTCATTTTCAGACCTGATACTTTGTTCAGTTAATTTTTAAGACTGAGTTAGCTACAATTATGTTAGCTAACTATATAAAATTCTTTCTTTTATGAAGTATAATTAATTATAAAGGAAACTAGTTCTCTGTAAAGTACAAAGCATGAATAGAGGGTTTATTTCATACCAGTAAGGAGCAGAAGGAAATAATGGGCAATCTGTTGGGCTTGGAAAAATGCATGCTGCTCTTCTGTCTTGATTTTTCAATTGCTATGAAAACCGTGCTAGCAGACAAATACAAATAGGGTGGACCAAATAATTACTTGTATAAATATATCTCCACTGACAATAGTAATGCCCCTTGGCATCAGCAGAAAATTTGGCCCCTTCCTGCATTCTGTCTGGTTTTGATTTGCCTGCTGGTATTGATTTTATAGCAATTCACAAATCACGACAGAAAGTGATGTAGATTTTATATCTACAGCTTTAGTTGCCACATATCTCTAGGGCCCATAATGAGAGCCGTGAAAAACCCTGAAAGAGAAATTAAATATCTTCAGAATAATGTAGAACTTGCAAAAAAAATAAACCACCAGTAAAAAGAAAGGGGGAAAAAAAAAAAAAAACCAAACCCCAAAGAATGATTAGTCATGCAATAGAAAGCCTCAAATGTCGGCTGAACTTAGTCTCCAGATGGGCTGGCAGGGAGAGGCCGGGGCGC